ACCAGGCCCCACCAGGCCCCACCAGGCCCCACCAGGCCCCAGAGCCATGCCGGGATGAAAAAAACCACGGGGCAACATCCCCGGCTGCTTGCCAGGCCCTCACACTGCCGTCGGGCCTAACCTCTGGGGGATAACTAGCATAAAAGCAATTGACTGTAATGCAGGGGAAATTGCAGTAACTTTGACTCAAAGCTCTGTAGCCAAAGGGATTTTAATTTGTAAATCGTTTTCTTTCAAAGTGTGCAACTTCAGGAAGTTTAGTAAAATCTTAAACTGTCAGCAGCCGGGAAAGCCTCGGTTTTATAAACACACAGGCCCGTGGCAGGCAGCGCAAGCTGAACAGGCCTTTCAACCTGCACAGAGGAATTCATACCCTTTCTTCAGAGACAACTGCCATCCACTTTTGATGCCAGTCGTACATTTACTGACAATTCTGCCAAAAAACCCCGTACTTCTGAGCAAAGAGTTATTTTTGACTTTGAGTGCTAACATCTCTCACTCAAACCCATGTAACTTGGGACACTCCCAACTGCCAAAACAGACACAAAGATGTTCTCAGTATAAACTGAAGATGGCTAAAAATGACTGAAAGACTCCAAATGAATGAAGATGTTGGTGGCTCAGGCTGAGGCACCAGGCAAAATATCAAAAAGTGGTTTTTAAACACAGAGAAATGTTTCACAGTAGATGCACCAAGTTACGCTATTAAAACCTGGGCCTTAACTAAACTTCTCAGATGAGGTTTTCGCCACTTAAATAGATTTTCTGCCTATATGTAGTTCATGATGTTCAGTGCTGGAAAACTGGGAAAGAACCCCGACAAGAACCAACTGGGAAGGAGTCTCCAGGAGAACTGTGCAAGTCCCTTTGTTTTTCAGAGCTTTCTGTAATCTGCAGTTTGTTCCAGTGTTTAGAAAACAGTTCTGTGCTGACCAAGACAACAAAGCAGCTCACTTGGTGTTTTCTCTATTCTATTTTCTATATTTAGTCTCAGAGCTGGCAGACCTCTACCTTCACCATTTGATTATCAGGAGAGCGCCTGCAAGGGGCCAGGAGCGTCCATTTTGTCTGCGGTGGGAATATCACGAAGAAGAGCCCAAAGTGGCGGAAAAGGGGTCACTCACCTCCGTAATAGAGTCCCGTGGCAGTGCACATTCGCCACTGTCCCTGATACCTTCCTGCTGTGCTGGGGCTGCACATCTGAACACTGACGTCTGCGATCTCCTGGGGCTCCAGGGACCTGACCATCACCATGTTTACGTGGCCAAATTGGTCGCCCCCGACATACTTCAGACAAACCCCCGGGGGCCACGCCTCTGTCCCTGGGATTAAACAGAAGAAAGAATTACTGACAGTGCACCAGCGAAAGCTTTGTGTCTGTTCATGTAAGACTGGATGAAACATGCTTATTAAAACAGTTGTGCAATTGTTGAACAGTCAAAGGAATACCAAGATACACATAACACAGCCAGCAATGGATGCTGAAGAAGAGTACAGTTTTCAGACAAGGCTTAACTGGTCTATTTAGAGACCAGCAGGATGATTTATATTTCTCTTTGAATAATCTCTAGGTCTTCTTTACACAGAAGAATTCTCAAAGTCACAGCGTAACAGCTGCAAATAAAATCAACATAACCACCACGCACATGTATTTTACCAATGCTAGAGACAAAGATGAGCTCAGAGCCAGGTGGGGTTCCCCCCCCCCATTTCTTTCTGCCTCCCTACATGTTGCAAGGCTCAGGAGCTACATCAAAATAAATGTTATTAATACAAAGTGCTGGAAACATTTTCTTTCAGGGATTTGTTCTTTTTTAAGCCTGTTAGCAGTCTCAGGAGGAACTAATAGTTTGAACTATAATTGAAGAGCTAGTACTGTTTTCTAAATGGATTTATTTCCCTTCTTGCACCAACCCTTCTCTCAGCCTTGTGCAAAGGTGGAAAGGATTGTGAACATATGATTTATTTGTGGAGATCAGTGTTTAGACTGCAGATACTGGGACTGACAGCGTGACCGGACAATCTGTAGAGATACAGAAAACAGTTACCGCATGCAAGCACAGCCATCTCCGCCAAAGATAACAAGTTCTGGGGCAGACAAAAAGAAAAGTGCTTCCGAGACTGGTGAAAAATCAGTTTAGCAGAATTTTCTTTTGCTTCTTCCCCAGTAATGTGACATAACTCAGCCAATGACTTTGAGAATACCTTCTGCTTGGTTGAGGTCGACGGAAACAGCTAAGGAAAGCCTGAACCACCCAGAAGCCTGGAACCACTCTATGTCTCGTCGGAGACGAGAACAGCGGATGCTGATCTGACCTTAGGTTACCCCAAAGAGCATCCTTCACAACAGCTTGCCTGCTAATTTAATCCCTGTGGATACTTCAGTGAAGACATAGCAGGGACTGGTTTTCCGGTCAAGTCCTTATTTGTGGAATTCACAATCTAGCAGGGAAAGCATGGTGTGAACAAGTAACGTGGGATATTGGGAGTGGGGGATATATCACTACAGTTGGAAACAGTGCTGAGATAGGGAGGTCTTTGAAAGAGGAGCTGAGCGACTAGCTGACCTCAGACTATGGCGCGTGGGAGTTGAGTATGAAGTCTCATCTGAAAAGGTTGGCAGCCCAGCAACATGGTTCAGTTTAAATAATTTATGTGATTTTTATCGGTTTTAATGGCTTTAGGCTTGCAAGGTGCCTAGAATGCTGCAGCTGATAAGCCCCATAAAATGAAATGATGATTATGTCATTCTATTGCAGTACACTCATCTCTCAGGAGATGATAAATTGTAGTAACTGTCCTGCAGAGCCAGCAGCAGCTGGGGGTAGGGTGGGAAGAGGAAATAAGTCTGTTAAATCCTGCTGCTCTTTCAGCAATGGTTGTACTATACAAACTGGTCTTTTGGCAGACAAGCCAAGCACTGTCCTGGAAGGTATCAGAGCAGGGTATTGGGTTTTAATACCACATATGAAAACCTGACTGAACCTAGCATACTGCTTGCACGCTTAAAACTGACAATCTCTCGGAGCTCTGCTTGTCATACTCGTCAAGACACTAAACGCTTCAGTGACACATGCCTCAGGTATTTTGTGTTCTAGAAGTGAAGTCATTTAATCAAGGGTTCCTGTAGAGCTGTTAAAAACCTTGGCTTTGCTTCAGTTATCTACCTAACAAGCAGATATTATCTGGAAACACTATAGTCCTTTGATATTATACCTTAATTAAACCATGAAATGGTTTTCAAATGCTATGGTCCTCCTTAAACTGCACAGTTGTTAACACAGTATGTGAAGCTGCATTTAACCAAAACATGCCTCAACAGCATGGTTTTAACGAGATCTGGCCTCCAGCACCACTGTTAGGGTACAGATGTACTTTTTAAGAAGTCAGGCTTTAACCCACGCAGAAACCAAAACAAATGTTGGCCTTACCAGGACCTCATAAGTCAAGATTAACTCCCTTTCCTCATTTTAGAAGACCCAAGTATTTCAGAAGGTCAAACAGTCCAAGAACAATGAAACACTGCTTGAACTAGGATGTTAAATAAAGGCTGAATTTGCATGCAGGAAAGACTACATCAGAGGAGCAAGAGAGGAAGGAGTCTGAAAGGAGTGAGATAGGGGTGTAGTCATAACACACGCAAATCAAGGTACTAATAGTGGAGAAACAAGATCTGTCAAACTTACTACATTTGTAAGACTTGTATTTGAGACACAGTTATAAAAAATTGCCAATTTTTCACACTACTGGAGTTTAAGCAAGCTATACGTGTCACCTTTCCATTGTAGTAAGTCAAACAGAGGCAGAAAAAGTAAACTGAATTAATTAAGCCCTTTCTCTAGAAGACGGTCTCAATAAATTAGTGTTCTTAAACATACACACCCCCCTTCTCACCTCTTCCATCCTGATGACATACTCCTAGATTTTCAGTATGGTTTTAGTCTGTTATACTTCGATATTCAGCACAAATCTGTGCAGCACTCAAGTACTGCGGTTATTTACAAGGAGAAATACGAATACAGCTGAACTTTACTCATGATGATTCATGATATTCTACCTTGTTGTGCTATCATTCTTCTTCACAAAAGTGCAAACAGGTCAATTAAATTCAGACACACAGCTTAAACATTCGTGCAACATCCTGTCATTGCAACACCTGAAGACAAGGTATTCCGCTTTGCATCCATGGATCTCGTTTTTCTCTGACTGCATCCCCACAGATCAAGCACTGGGAATGTATTTTGCCTAGTCTCACTTCCTGGAATCCAGTCACTGTTTTGACTTATTTCATACTGGAATGTGGTCTCTCCAGCCTTGCATCCTCTCAGAGGATGAAAAAGCAATTCTGTCAAAAGCGTATTAAAAAGTAAAGGGTACCTGCCATGTTACCCTTGCACAGCTACCTCTTCTCAGAGTTAGAGCATTGCATCACTGCCTCCCCAGAGAACGCAGCCCTATAGAGCGCCGAATGACCACACGACAGGGAGATTCAGAGAAATGGTGTGATGAAGGGCAGTGGTAGTATACAAGCTGGTCAGGAGCTAAAAGGCTTTGAGATTAAAAAGGATCCCTTCATTGACTTAAAAATGTATTCCACATGTGATGAGAAACATGACTAGCTACGGACTCTTAATCTATTTCCAGATGTAATACTTCCCTTAAAAACAAACAAACAAAAATCAAAACAAAAAGAACCCCAAACCCAGAACCTTGCACTTCAATTTCTTTTACCTGCCTCTTCCTACACAAGTTTCCTAGAGCTTTTGTTTGTGTGGTGGCACAAGGAACAAGACTGGGGAACTGACCGAGCTGCACATCTCGCCACAAAACATTTGTGCCGACATAAGAAGGGGAATACACATCGGTTGGCAGGCTACCTCCTTCAGTAACAGGGTGGCTCTACTCCAAGTTAAGGACACATGAACCCACTGCCTTAAGCCAGCATCTCTTCCATTAGATCTGCCATCCTATCACAGGATACACGCTACCTGGGGTTTGCTACAGTCTAAAAGCCTTACCTGTGTTTTGTATCCTCCACGTTTTTGTAAACTGGGTATCAGGAGGGATGGACTCTCCTTCACCTATGGTGACATCTTCAACAAACGACATGGAGGGTACATTGATATTTGGACTCTCGAAATCATAGTAGGCTCCAATGGCGGCTTGTAGATTCCTAGAAAGCAAAAATGCAGATTACAACCTAAAGTACAGGTGGCTCAGGTCCTTTTCACAGGTTTACAGATGTCATCCTAAACAGTTAAGCAAAAATACTATCCAGACTATATTAGCTCTGCCGCTCATGTTTTTTTAAAGCTTTTATCTCTATCACACATGGATTCTCCAAGATAACAGAGCTCAAAACACAGCATTTCACTTGCCAAGGACACTATTTCACACCACTTTTCTACTCTGCTTCTTATTTTCACTGGAAATCTTGGAACTTAAGAGTCTTGGAGACCTCTACCCCATTAGTGCTTTATGAAATCTGCTGAAAAGTTCAAGAGATACTGAGGGAAGTGCTACACAGCAGCATGTAAACAGGGCAGTTTCTTTATACCAGCCTTGTTTCCTGAGCTAATTTCAAAAGGACTGAACCTCTCCGTTTTACTCTGGCACAAAAGGTCCAAAGGAGCACAAGATGAACAAAACACAAAGAACACTCTTATGATAACTCTCACGGCCAAAGGGCATCAGTAGCTATGGATAATAGCTCAAGCCTTGCTGCTTTTGAAACGTATGGTCATGTATGAGCCACGAGTACTCTAAGACTATTTATTAATCATTAAAGTGCCTGCTCAGCTCTGGATAGTCACAACTCAAAGGAACTTATAAACCATCTGAGTCAAAAGTTCTAACTGAATAAAGACAAATGACAGTGGAAGTCTGATATATTAAGGACATTCAGAAAGCCGCAAATGCTATTGATTCCCAAGTCGTGGTGTAGCTGAAACTCACATGATAATTAATTTGAAAAGAGAAGCAGTCAAACAGGAAGAGGATTCATGAGTCTTAGCTGCCGTTCCACGATATACTATTAAGTTATTATGTAAGTGTTTGGCAAGTCATGTAATTCCTCTGTTTACGCATGTCTGTGAGGTTGTGGCCCTAATTTACATGTTGTGAGTAGGTGCTGTGACAATGGAGATGAGTAAAACCTCACCAAAAGCAATGGGCATAACAACTACTTTTTATTCATGATTACAAAAAAATCTGTGTTGCTTTTCTTGAGCAGGATAGGGAAAAAAAACCCACCAAACCCTTCAAGAACCAGGAACCACCCCCTAAAACAAAGCCACGCAGAAGGCTAGTCGGAAGCTGCACTATACAGGTACAGTGATATATTGAGAGTTTGTATTGTGTGGTGGAGTGTCATGTGTCTAAACCAAAGCCAGAAAGCCAAGGTGAAAGCAAGAGAAACATTTGCAGCATGACCCTGAGAAAGAGCAAACATAGGGCTTTCTGGACTGCTTGCCAGCTGGAAAGAGGCTCAAAACGGTGAGCAAAGAAACTGCCTCCTGTTCAATTCCTACAGTGTTCAAGGGGGAAGGAAAAAAAAAAAAAATCAGACATTCTGGATAAAATCAGAACTGCATGGGAGAAGTATCACTGCTTTCTCCTCACAGAAAACAGAGGGGACCCGAAGCGTAGTAGCTAATAGCGCTGGAGCTCGGGTCAAAGCGGGTAATAGCAGTATTAGGCAGATCTGCAAGCCGCCCGCGATGGGGTTGAGTGGGAGAGGACCTAAACAACAGATGTATCAGTTTGGTAATCCATCGCGAATGACAGAAGATAATCACCGCAGGAGTTACTGACATCCTGCTAAGTCTCCCAGAGCACAGCCAGCGCGTTAGGAGGCACCGGAGGAATGTTCTGCACAACATGGCCACGGCGATCGATCGGCAAATTCAGCAAACCGAGGCTTACAGCGAGACCTTTCGCCATCAACACAGAATGGACTTTGATACGAAGGGGAGACGAAAGAGCCACCGTGTAAGATTTCCACGTTTAGAACAACGAATTTCAGGACCAGAAGCCATTATTCAGCTTGAGGCATTTTCTACTTAGGAGTGTCAGGGCTATATTTAATACGGCCAGCTCAGTCAAATGCTACAGGAAGGGTGCATGTCACATTAGCCAATAAATAGAGACAAATGCTCAGTTTTACGTCACCAACCGCCTGTTGCTTATACACTGCACAAGATTTACATAACTCGCAACAGGGCTGTGCCAAGAGACTCCTGTTCGCTCAACCAGCTAACGCTATGATCTAGAGTTTAGTTTTCACTACAATTCCTTCCTGTGTTATAGCAATCCAAGGCAAAAGGTATTCTAAGAGCTACACAAGACGGCAATACAGCTCCTTCTCTTCCTAATCCGCTACTACATAAAAACATTTTCAGACATACCACAACATCTTGTGAGTTATGATTCTGGAATCAGTAGTAATGACGTTTTATTGACATTGAAGGGGGAAAAAAAAAAGTTCCAAGGGGAACATTTCAACTGTAATTCTTTGTAAGGCAGCCTGCACTGTTTTTTTGTTTGCTTGGCTGCAAATACCCTTCAAAAGGTAGTGGGCTATTTGTGCACATAGGCCCCCTGCCAACTCTCTTCCCCTCCCTGGGTCATATTTCATTGCTTGCTTTGCCATTGGGAAACAACTCCAGTCCTCTGCAGCGTTTAGTTAAAAACTAACTAAAGAACACATGCTGAAAAACAGATTTGCCCCCTTTTTCCGATCAGATATGCACGAACCCACCTTCCTGCTCCCACCGCGTTGATCAACGTGCAGTGAGTTTTTGGGCTGAGCCCTTTTGCATGTTCAGATACATCTCGGCCTTCCCACTAGAGAATTAAAAAGCAGCTTCCAGAAACTAAAGAGAAATTGAAAGTGGCAAGAGCCAAAGTCAGGATGACAAAGCAAATCTGACTTAAGTTCAAGTTCTTTGACACAGGCAACCCTAAGAGATAGCCACTGAGAGGCCGTATGGCACCGCTCTGCTGCAAGAGATACCCACGGCGCTCGCATTTTCGTCGTGTTCTCTGCTTACACGGCCAGCAAAGCCAGCAACATATCACTGCTAGCTTTGTTTCCACTCTTGCCAAGAGACAGTGCTCCCGCTCCTTCCCTACCCCCAAAACCCCCAACTATCAGTTTGAACGCAATACTTGGGGAAAATAAGTGCCATTTGCAGAAGCAAACTATTTGCAACCTGATTGTTTGCAGGTTCTTGAGACTAAGTAGTACACCCTACCTTTCTGCCTTTCTACTACAGGCTCAATTAGTGGACTTTACAAGCAAACACAAGCGCTTCGTGAGAGATGGCTTCGAGGTCAAACATACTCAAGGCCCTGAAATTTGCGGGTTTATATATATATAGTTTTATATATTCAAGATATATAAACACACAATTTTTTAGGTCTTCACCCTTGTGCCCCAGCTGTAAGTGCATGGCACCAACTGCAGATGCTTCAGGCGCAGGAACAAAGAGTTAGACCTCTGAGAGGAAAGGGTTATAATCTAAGGGCTTCTGCTTTACACATCCATGCCTGCTTTATTTCACTCTTCCTAGGTGTGCTTGCACCATACTAGCCCTTCACTCTTGGCCATATGTGATAAATTACTATTATAAAGCAAACAACTTTGAAATGAAGGTGATTGAAATGAAGATGAGCATGCCAGATCTAGCCAGGGTAATTTACATGACTGATCTCTGCTAATTACAGGGATGGCCACACATGTCTTTGTTAACACAGCCCTTCAGGTGTCAGGCCCTCCTTACCTCTCCTAAATTAAGCAATTTTTCCATTTTTAGAGCAGTCCTGGGCTGCAACAGTTTGTAGCTCTGCCATACTAACAGAGCAGGTCTGACAGGATTTAGGCTCAAACTCCTGAAAAAAGCCTGCAATCAGAAGTCACCCCAGCGACCAGGTGAACCTACTTAAAATCAACACCATGCTCAATTTTAGTCCTAAGAGCAAGATTCTGGAAAGAGACGAGGGGAGAAGGCAGCAAACAAAGGTTGTAGCTCCATATTATCAGCCAAATCCGTTCTAACTATGGGTATCCCACTCCTTCCTCTTCAAGGGCATCCCATGACTCTTACCTGTCAAGTGCCTTTCCAACAAAACGCTACCCGCAGAACCAGAGAAAGTGTTCCTTTGCAGATCAATTCTTTGCTCTGCTGCTTTGTTTCAAGCCTCAGGAGCTAAATTACAATAGTGAAGTTAAAACCGTCTCTGCTAATAGCTCTGGAGATGTCCCTTAACAACTCTTAAGTGTTTGTGAAGAGGTGGTTTATCTCGAGCCATTCTTTCCCTTCCCCGTTTTTTTCCCAGACAGCCTTTTGTTATGTTAAACCAATATATTTAGACAGTAATTACTTCAAATTAACTAGGTCACCACGCAGTATTCTAAAATAAAAGAAACTCTTCCAAATCAATTCACAAACTAGAGGCCTCCTTATACAACCTAACTGTTGTGCAAACAAAAAGCAATATACGGGTAATTGGAAATATTATTATTTTTTTTTTTTACTAATTGTATCAGATTCTTTTTTAGGATAATGAAGAAACCGAAGCACTGAAGCTTACTCACTGTGGCCTCATGCAAAGCAGGACATACGCACAATACCTAATCCTTCTGCTACCAATAAAACATATGATTCTTTCAACATATACAAGTTAAGCATCTCGGAAGGAAAGCAATACAAATACGTCATCCCAACATGCGAGACAAGGGACATCAGAGTCCTGGCAAACAGACACTCTCCAAACAGGTAGAGGGAAAGTGAATTGGAGGAATCGTCTACCATCCGGCAGCTGTAAGCCTCCCACACACCTCTCCCACCAACCACCGTGCATGGCTGACACAAGGAATGGTATTTTGGTTTTGATTTCAATCCAGCAGCTTAAAGATCTGAACTTGAAAAAATTCCCTTATGATGTGCAGGTTGTCTAATGTGTGTGGTGACACATAAGAACTCCAGTCCAAAATAACATTTACAGTAGAAAGCAACAACTTTAAAATTTTAACTATAAATGTTACAGGAATCTGTAAGTTTTCATTTATTGTCAAATTAGTTGATGAAAGATCCAAAGATTTATTTTTTTAAAAAAAGGATAGATTTCAGAGGGGTGAAAATCCAAATCCAGTCAAAGCTTAACCTCAAA